ATAACAAAGCAGAGAAGTTGGTGTTTTGAGATTAGCGTGACATTTGCTTTTCGTCTTCTAGTAACTCCCCGCAAAGGACCGTTGGGTGTCTTCGATTGCCAAGCATTAGGAAGAAGGGTCACAACCAGCGGCAGAGGAGATGCCGTCCACAGAAATTTGGTGTAGCCTTGTGTAGCCTTTTCCAGTATAAGATACAAAAAAGACTTTATTACCATGTTCTTTTCACTCCAGTCACTGCTTCTTTCACTGCTTCTGTTCATTTTGGTAGACATATGAGACTTACTTCATTAGAGGAGCATAGCCTTCATTGTGGTCTGACCCCGTTCAGTCACAAGATATCTGTTAAACGAGTCTACAAACCTTTCACGGTTTGTGGATTCTTGTAGTGCAGTAAGTTAACGGTTTAAAACTCAGTGCTTATAAGCTATCTTCTCGACCCTGAAGAATACTGTCACAGGATACTGGGTTGGAATATTTGTAGCAGAGGTCATAGTAAGTGTCCTGTATTTTAATGGGAAATAGAAAGGTTTTCATGCTTGCTGCCTTTTTTTTTTTTTCTGTTCATTGGACAAAAACAGATGTATGCTTATAGGCCAGGACATAATTAAATCAGGTTTCCTCATTTTCTTCAATATTAGATCATGATGAGAAACTATTCTGGGGGCACCTGGGTGGCTCAGTCAGTTAAGTGTCAGCCTTCGGCTCAGGTCATGATCTCAGGTTCCTGGGATTGAGTCCCATGTTATGCTCCCTGCTCAGCGGGGAGTCTGCTTCTCTCTCTCCCTCTGACCCTCCCCCTGCTCATGCTCTCTCTCTCTCTCCCAAATAAATAAAATTTTAAAAAAAAAAAAAAAAAGAAAAGAAAATATTCTGCTATCCATTCACTTTACAGTGGAGTTCTAGCAATCTCCTTTAAAGTCCACAGCAGCATATATAAATGATGCCTTTTGATCCCGATCCCAACACACCTACCTCATGAATCATCTTTTTAAGATGAACATGTTAATTAATTAATTTATTTATATTTTTTATATTTTATTTTTAAATTGAGTTTTTATTTTAATTCCAGTTAGTTAACATACAACGTTATATTAGTTTCAGGTATACAATATAGTGATTCAACCATTCCATACATCACCCAGTGCTCATGATGACAAGTGCCACCTTAATCCCAGCCCTATTTACTCATTCCCCCCTCCCACCTCCCCTCCAGTACCCATTAGTGCTCTATAATTGAGAGCGTTTCTTGGTTTCTCTCTATCTTTCTTTATGTGCTCATTTACTTTGTTTCTTAAATTCCACATGTGAATAAAATCCTAAGTTATTTGTCTTTCTCTCACTTATTTCTCTTAACATAATACTCTCTAGCACCATCCATGTTGTTGCAAATGGCAAGATTTCACTCTTTTTTTTATCGTTGAATAATATTCCACTGTGTGTAGGTGTGTGTGTGTATATGCATGTGTGTGTGTGTGTGTGTGTCTGTGTCTGCACACACACCCCATCTTCCTTACCCATTCATCACTTGATGGAACTTGGGCTGTTTCCATAATTTGATGGTTGTAGATAATGCTGCTATAAACATTGGGATGCAGATATCCTTTTGAATTAGTATTTCTATAATTTTTGGGTAAATACCCAGTAGTGCAATTGCTGGGTCATAGGGTTGGTCTATTTTTAACTTTTTGGAGGAGTGTCCATACTGTTTTCCATAGTAGCTGTACCAGTTTGCATCCCCACCAACAATGCACAGCGTTGCTTTTTCTCTGCATCCTCACCAACACCAGTTATTTCTCGTGGTGTTGATTTTAGCCATTCTGACAGGTGTGAGATGATGTCTCATAGTTTTTATTTGCATTTCACTGATAATCAGTGATTTTGAGCATCTTTTCATGTGTCTGATGGACATTTGTATGTCTTCTCTGGGGCAATGTCTGTTCATGTCTTCTGCCCATTTTTAAATTGGATTATTCATTGTTGAGGTATTGAGTTTTATCAGTTCTTTATATATTTTGGATACTAACCCTTTATCAGATATGTCATTTGCATATATCTTCTACCATTCTGTAGGTTACCATTTGGTTTTATTGATTGTTTCCTTTACTGTGAAGAAGCTTTTCAGTTTGATATGGTCCCAACAGTTATTTTTTCCTTTGTTTCCTGTGGCTCTGGAGACAAATAGAAAAATGTTGCTACAGCCCCTCATGAATCATTTTTAACTATTTGTTAATGCTTTTTAAAATGTCCTCTTCTGATAACATGCCTTTTTAATATTGGCGTAATAGTATGTTGATTAATTTTCCTTCATATATTTTCCATATAAGCTGAGAAATGATTCAGTTCTATGCATCAGCGATCTTAGCCAAATGTGAAGCAAAATGTTTGTTAGCAACTATAGAAGCGTGTACACATTTTGTGGTATGACATTACTAGTATATTATTATCACTGCTTTAACTTCTAAACTGCAGAACTGACTCTGTTTCCTGGAATCACTAGAGGTTTATGGATCATGCTTCAAGAAACAGTGCTACCTTGATGGGGAACCAATAAAGCTGTTTTAAAAATTATGTTAAAAACATTAAAGGAAAGGGCGCCTGGGTGGCTCAGTGGGCTAAAGCCTCTGCCTTTGGCTCAGGTCGTGATCCCAGGGTCCTAAAATTGAGCCCCACATTGGGCTCTCTGCTCAGCAGGGAGCCTGCTTCCTCTTCTCTCTCTCTCTGCCTGCCTCTCTGCCTACTTGTGATCTCTACCTGTCAAATAAATAAATAAAATCTTTAAAAGAAAAAAAATATATAGGAAGTGACATCAAGAGCAACTCAAATCCTGTGACCAAGTGGCCCTACTCCTCCCACCCTCATCCCCAAAAGGAATCAAGCGATTGAGAATCAAGTGCACTCAGGTCAGTGACACCAGCCTTTCCTTGTTAGGGGTCCTCTCAGAGCCTTTGTTTTTTCTACTGTTACTACTCACCCACATTGAACCTCTGGGGCAGGGATTTACATGTTTGACAGTGCTACAGCCTAAAGGTCTGTGCCCTCCCAAAATGCATATGTTGAAACCCAGTCCTCAGTAACAATGGTGTCTGTAGATGGAGTCTTTGAGAAGTGATTAGATCATGAAGAGGCACAGTGCCCTTATAAAAAGAGTTTCCAGAAAGCTTCCTCCCTCCTTTTTGCCACATGAGGACAGGGCATGAAGATGGTGTAGAAAAAGGAAATGGACTCTCACCAATATCAAATCTGCTGGAGTCTTGAGTTTAGACTTCCCAGCCTCCAGAACTATTGGAAATAAATTTTCATTGTTGATAAACCATGAAGTCTGTGGTATTTTGATATCCCAGCCTGGACTAAGACATAGAGTGAACAGTTTGAGTGGAGTAGATTACTACCTTTATACGCCACACAAGTTTCTGCCTATGCTTCTCTCCACGTCCCATTTCCTAGCACAGAGTGTAATGCTCACCACATTAATACAGTACTGACTCTATAGGCTACTTGTTTCTCAGCGTGCTTTCACACTTATTATTTTATTTGGATGTGGCAAATGTGTCCTGTCCAAGCAAAGAATATTTCCCTCTCAGTTGGAAAGAGGTTTTTGAAACTACTATTCAGTCATAAAACCTCCTCCCCTTTGAAAAGAAGCATTTATACAGTTGATGGTCTCTACAATAATAGGGGAAAAAATGAGAGCTTTCTACCATCTTACCTGTTTCTGAAACTTAGTTTTTGCCAAAAGAAAGGATGTGAAAATTTGTGAAAAATGTATTGGGATGAAAACAAAGTTTAGGTCGTTAAGAAAGGAAGACATGGGACTCTCCAAACAGGGGTGCAGCTCAGAAATCTTTACTCATCCATGTATTCAGATTTGCTGCATGGCAGCATGTTCCTCAGCACTGTGGAAGCGTTGAAGTGTTGTACTCTACTGAAAACACAAATTCCTCTAGTTCAGGCATGTAGCTTAAGAGAGTCTTATGTCATTGCTGCTACAAGCAGCTAAATCTTTAATTATATTGATGATCTCTGCAAGACTTGGAGTTTAAGAATGTGGAGTCATTCTCAAGGACACCTATATTTATGCTCCAAATACCCAGTTTCTGGAAGTGGGCTAGGTTTTCTTTTTCTCTATGGGTATTATAGTGATGGATAGGAGCTGCCTCATTTTCCCCTCCCTTCCTCCCTTCCTCCCTTTCCTTCCTTCTTTCTTTATTTTTTCCTTTCTTTCTCCCATCTTCACCCTCTCCTTCCTTTATTGTTTCCAAAGTTGTTTAGCACCTGCCATGCAACAAGTTCAATGTTCCCCTGCACAGATGATGAGATAAATATAATACTTTCCCTCCCCTAAAGATGCTTATAAACTAATGAAGAGACAGATACTTCATCCATGTGTTATCAACTCAGGAAGAGTCTTTTCTTGCCAGTCTCTTCCTTCACGTGTCATTAATATATTCCTGCTTCTTTAAAGGAGGTTTGAACAGCTGTGAAACTCCATCCCATCTCACATCCTCAGGGCAAAAAGCAATGAGTTCTAATTGGTATATGATACAGCTAGTGAACATAAAATATAATTAAGGTATTCCACATCTTAATTTGAGCCCCAGATTGGGGTGTGGTTTCTCTATATTCATGCAAACTTGAGTTTCGGTGCTTCCTGTTCCATAAATAATGTGACTTCAATCACCTGAATCTCTTCCCCAAGCACATAAAATATAACATGGTTCAAAAATGTATGGTTGAGATATCAGGAATAGTAAGAAAAATGCCCATATGCCAGGTAATCTGGGAAGCAGGGCGTAATCCCAGGAGGCACAGGTGAGTTTCTACTTGTTCGTTAATCCTGGGTGGGTGTGTGTGAGAGAGATCGGGATTAATGTGTTTCTGGTGAAGTAGCTAAGAGATTTAATTTTAAAATGCTCAGGAGAACAGAATAAAGCCTGCAAGACAAGAGGGCAGAGCTGGAAACCTTGAAGGTCTATACCTTAGTAAAATACAGGACTGAGTGCTTGCTTCGGCAGTAGGTATACTAAAACTGGAACGATACAGAGAAGATTAGCATGGCCCTGGCTCAAGGATGACATGCAAATTCGTGAAGTGTTCCATTAAAAAAAAAAAAATACAAGATTGAATGAACTGTGACCAGTGATGCAGGAAGGCAACAGGCAAGTTTATCTATCTCTGTCGAAATTCCTGGAGAGTTGCACTTTGGGTCTTTCATGCACAATTGTGGGGTTTAAATTTCTACTACTTCAAAGTCCTCAAGATTTAGGAGTCCCCAAACTGAGAAATTAACATCATTGTGCTCCTGTACCAATGATAATTCTGGGGTTCTTCTTACACGTGAAGACAACACCACTCCACAGCATATGTGTCCATGACTCCCGTAGATGAAGTATCTCTCACACTGAGCTCTTTCACAAGAAAATAATCCAGAGTGCGGGAGGAATAAAAGACACAAACAGGTCACATTAGAAGATAATCTTTTCATATGATAGCAATTTTTTTAACATTTTAACTGGCAATATAAACTCATTGTGTTCAAATAACTAAAGTTATAAAAATAATCAATTATAAAAATACACAATAAACAACAAAAATATTAAAACAAATGAAATATAACTTTTAAAATTAAGCAATAAACTTGTGAAACATATTAGAAACAGCTGAAGTAAAAAAAATACTGAACCAGAACATAGGTCTGAAGAAATGAAGTAAAATGTAAGTGAGAAAGGTAAAGAAATTAAAACCCCGAAAGGAAGATTCAGTGTCATGAGGGAATTAATGAGAAGGTCTAATATATGTCCACTGAGTTTAAGAGGATAAAGAAAAAGAATGATGAAGAGTCAAATAGTAAAATGAAGATGGGTGAGAATTTTACAAATGATGAAAAACATGGATCTTTAGGTCTAACAATAAAATGTTTCAAGTGAAATAAATAAAGAAAAAAACTACTGGCAATAGATTTGTCATGGCAACAGTAGAGGCCAGGGTACAATTGAATAATATTTTCTTGTTGCTGAGAAAAAATAACTGTCAACCAAGAATTATAAACTGAACTATCAATCAGAGGTGGAAGTATAGTAAGGACAATTTTAGACACACAAGAAGACACAGAGGCACTACCACCCACATATTCTCACTAGAGCAGTTATTCAAGGATTTACCTCAGAAAGAAGAAAATCGAACCCAGAAGGAAGAAGAGGATTTCCAAAAGCAATAGTGGGCAAAACAATTGGCAAACATAGGGTAAACCTAAACACATGTTAACAATATGAAAAATGAAAATAATTATGAAGAGTGTATTCATAAAAATCAAGTTGGACAAAAATTTTGAGAAAAGTGACATTTAAGAAAGGAGTGGGTAATCATAGTTAACGTTCTAAACTTTACCAGTTTCTAAACCGGTAACATTTGGAAATGTAAAATTTTTTATTCACTTTGTACTTTGTTCAGACAGGCATGCATTTTTTAAATAAATGGATAGACCATAAAACCATAAAGATTAAGCGTATAATTTCCTAACTGAAAGGAAAAAAAGAATTATGGAAACTAGTCATTCCAATGTTTGTTTTGGAAGAAGAAAAAAAAAGAAAAATATGTGAGAGAGAAGTCATAAAGTGATAAAAATGAAAACTGTCAGGAATAGACTAACTTTAAATGAAATGTCTCATCAGTTGAAAGACAAGGATCACTAGTTTGGATTAAAAAAACAAAACCCAGCTATTTGTTCTTTACAAAAGTTCCTCATTGTCTTATTCTGGGCATCTTAGTCTGTTTGGGCTGCCATAGCAAAATATCAGGCTGGGTGGCTTAAACAACAGATATTTATTTTCTCACAATTCTGGAGGCTAGAAGACCAAGATTAAGAAGCTGTCAGGGTCAGTTTTTGGTGAGACCTCCTATCCTGGTTCGTAGGTATTTGCCTTCTTACTATGTCTTTACTTGGCTTTTCCTCAGAGCATGCACAAATAGAGAAAAAGAGGAAGGCATAGAAACAGAGACAAAGACAAAGCTCTCTGTTGTCTCTTCTTATGAAAACACTAATCCTACCAGATTACTGTCCCACTCTTGTGACCTCACTCAACCCTAGTTACTTCCTGAGAGGCCCTGTCTCCAAATACATCTATACTGGGGGTTGGGGCTTCAACATATGAATTTAGGGGCATGGAGCATAAAGATTCATTTTTATGCTCTTTCAGAAAGCAAAACATGAGGCAAAAACTCCAGTGCCAACCCTTTATTTGGTGAGTGCTAACACATAACAGGAAAATGAGAGGGGAAAAAAGGAAGTAAAAAAAACTTATTAAAAACAACAACAACAACAACAAAGTTGGAGAACTCATGATACCTGATGTTAAAATTTGCTATAAAGTTATAGTAATCAAGGCAACGAGGTGTTGTTGAAAGAAAAGAGAAACAGATGAGTAATACAGTGTAAAGACACACACAAATACCGCCAGCTGATCTTTGACCCAGGAGTGAAGGCAGTCCGGTTGAGAAAGGGTAGTCTTCTCAGCAGTGATGCTGGATGGCAACAACTGGATGTCCATTTGCACGAGAAGGGACCTAGATACAGACCTTAAACCTTCCCCAAAAGTTAACTCTAAATGGGTCATGGAGCTCAATATAACATGAAAAACTATAAAGACTGTAGAAAACAACATGAGAGAACAATCTGTGAATTTAGGATTGGAGATGAGCTTTTAGCTACAAAGCTAGAAACATGACCCAGGAAAGAAACAAAAACTGATTAAGTAGAACTTTACTGTTATTTAAAAGCTGCTATGTGAAAGACACTGTTGAAAAATGCAAAGACAAATCATAGACTAGAAGAAGTATTTGCAAGACACATACCTGGTGAAGGATTTATATTGCTCTGTGTTCTCCAGAAAAATAGAACCAATAGGATATGTGTATATATATGTTTATATATGCTATTAGTGTATATAGGATATTTATTTTTATTCTATTATGTATAGTATTAAATCTTTTAATAGTGATATATATTAGGAACAATGTAAAATAGAACCAGTTATAAAATAGAATCAATAGGAAGCGTGCGTGTATATATATACACACACACATTATAAGGACTTGACTCATAGGATGTTAAAGCCTGAGAAGTTGAGAGAAGTCCCGGGATCTTCAGTCAGCAAGTTGGAGACCCACAATCACTGATGATTTGCTTCCAGTTTGAGTCTGAATGCTGGAGGATCAGGAAAGCCAGTGGTGTAAGTTCCAGTCCAAGTTTGAATCTGAAGGTGGAAGACTGATGTCCTTCCTGGAAGACAGTCAGGTAGAGAGTCTTCCTCTCCTGGTGGGATGGCCTTTTGTTTTAGACAAGCTTTCACCTGAAAGGATGTGGCCCACCCACATTAGGATGAGCAATCTGCTTTACTGGATGTACCAGTTCAAATGGTAACCTCATCCAAAAACAGTCTCACAGATGCATTCAAATATATGTTTGGCCAAATATCTTGGCATCCCATAGCTCAATCAAAGTGACATAAAATTACCTATTACAGACTTGTGTCCAAAACATACAAGGAATTCTTAAAGCTCAACAATAAGAAACTAGATCGTCCATATTAAAAATCTAAATCTCCAATTAAAGATCTGAACAGACACCTCATTAAAGGAGATATACAGATACACACATATAAAGAGACATGTTACTACCTGTCATTAAGGAATTGCAAATTAAAACAATAATAGATTCTAATACACACCTATAAGAATAACTAAAATAATACTTTTTTTAAAAACACTGGCAATACTAATTGCTAGAGAGGATGCAGAACAACAAGAATTCTCATTCATTGCTAGTAGAAATGCAAAATGGGCAGCCACTTTGGAAGACCAGCTGGCAGATTCTTGCAAAACTAAAAATAGTTTTACCGTACAATCCAGCTCTTGTGCTCTTTGGTATTTATCCAACTGTCCTGAAACTTAAGTCCACACAAAACCTTCTCATAAATGTTTATAGTAACTTTATTCATAACCCCCAAAACTAGAAGTAACAAACACATCCTTTAATTGGTGAATAGATAAATGTGGTATATCCATATAATGGGATATTATCGAAACCATGAAAAGATTGCAAAGAGGAGCCTTAAAAGCATACTGCCAAATGAAGGAAGCCAGTGTGAAAAGTCTACATACTGTATGATTCCAATTATATCACAATTATATGCTGAAATAGGCAAAAGTAAACAGTAAATGATCAGTGATGCTGCTCCCTGAACAGAAAAAGGTATTAGAAATCTGAATAAACTATGAATTTCAGTCAGTAACAGTGCCTTGGTATTGGCTCATTAATTGTAACAGATTTACTGTAGTACTGTAAGGTATTAACAAGAAAGGAAACTGGCATGGGATATATGGGAATTCTCTGTACTACATAATTTTTCCATAAACCTAAATCATTCTAACACAAAATGTGTATTTATTTTTTTTAAGGAGGGTGGCAAAAAAGTAATAGAAAGAAAAGCAATGCAGTGTGTTACTGCACTGTCCACCTCTTATCAGCAAAGTCAGAGAGATAACAAATTAAGTTGCCATGTTCACTTAGAAGACGGGTTTCCTCTAGAACGGTGTAAGGGATAACTTGCACCTTTGAGTAGTTAATGAGAGAGGAAAATAGGGAGAATTTATCAATTGATAAGGAATATATAACTATTCTGAATCTATATTTACATAATAACATAGCCTCCAGATAGGTAACGTTAAAACTTAAGAATTATAAGAAAAAAAACTTACAAATCTCCATTATATTTACTTAAAATATATCTCACTGAAGAACTGATCTCATGTTCAAATAAAATTCTGTATTTCAACCACAAAATAAATCTCTATCCAATAAAAACTTAACAGATATCTGCAGCAGTAATTAAGGAATCAATATTTTATGCTTGCATAGAGCATTTATAAAATTTTCTTAGGTGTTAGGACATAAAACAATTGTTCACAAATATTGAAAAGTTGATATTATATAGCATACCTTTTCTAACCACAATACTATGGGCTTAGTTCAAGTTTCCTAGCAGCACAGCTTAAGACCAGAATTGGTTGGAGATAGTTTATTTTTCTTTAGGCCATGAGTACTAGCA